AACAATCTGGGAAGGAGTGCAGAGGGTAGGAAAGCATACTATGACCGAAAGGGAGTTAACCAGGAACTCCAAGTAGGAGACAGGGTCCTGTACTTCCAATTTGCCAAACCCACGGGGGTGGCCCGGAAGTTCTTACCCAGTTGGACAGGACCCCACGAGATTGTCGATAAGGTATCACCGGTAGCTTATCGAATTCGGATTGAAAAGGGAAGGCAATCTCTGGTCTACAAGTGGGTGCATCGCAACCACCTCCGGTTGTATCGCCCACCTCAAATGGCGCCGGAGGACACAGAATAGGGTTAAAAGTCCAAGCCCGATCAAAGAGGGGGTGTCCCTTTGTAGCTGCAGGTAGTTAGGTACCGTAGTGTAGGTCCTGCTAGGAAAATATATTCAAAATTATAGTGAAACTGTACCATGTGCCTCATCTGTGTTCCAGAATGGGAATCCTAAAACTGCCACGGCTGGTCCTGACAGTACTGTGGATCGCCTCGACACAGCCCTTTGAAGTTGTGGAACCCGGTCCTCCTACCGGCATAGTCCTGCAGGACGCTCCCGGATTGTTGTTAACAAATTGCAGAACATATTCTCAGCGAGTGTATGTACTGCTGGACCCACATGATGTGTTTCGGAAGCCCATCAACATGAACAGTAGGGTGTCCTTTCATGGTAGGCAGTGGGCTGGGGATACTATATGGCATGCCCAGCTAGACACTATACACATGCTCCGCTAGCTGAGGAAGGCAACAGTCACCCAGGAGGAGATGACAGGCCTCAGCCGCCCCAAAAGGTTCTTGGGGGGTCTGATTGCTGCGGCCTCCGCCGTGGGTTCGCTATTTTCAGCTGGTCTGTTTGCTGCTAACACTGTCACCCTGACCACCCTGAGAAGGCAGGTGTCTGGGTTACGTAAGGAAATGCCAGAAATTAATGACAGGCTGCATCAACAGGAACAGCGGCTGGAAAGACTAGGGAAAACCTTACAGGGCACGATTTTAGCAGTAAACCTTCATGCAGCACTGTTAAATAACACCCTCCACACCGTGGGCAGGATTGTCGACGTGTTACAGTGGGACTATGCTTATGTGCAACAGGTCAGAATGCTGATGCAGGATCTGCTTAGGGAGCTTAGTGCCACGGTAACTAGCCTAGCCATGGGACAGATTCCAACCTACTTGGTTCCACTGTCCTT